TATATGTGGTGATGGGGTGAGACATGTGCTATTGTTTTTGTTCCCTGATTCCCTGTTCCCATGAGGCACGTGCCTTCATAATCCTAGCCATAAAAGTGGGAGTCTTTAATCTGGTTTATTTAGGTACTTTGTGTCACTGCTTTCACCAGGGGTTTTGTGCAGTCCTTGTTGCAATGGATACCATCACCGTCTTTTCTTGTTTAACTGTGTTATTGCCAGATCCTGACCAGGGGTTTCAGGAAAACAGTCCCTACCTACATTGTCCTGGGTTGTTGGTCAGGACTATATAGTAATATTTCATATCATGTACCAACTACATTAATTGAATTTCCTGATCTCCAATTTGTTGTTACCTTTCACCATTCAACATAGTCACTGTCCCAAACAAATGAGTAACAATTTCAGTATAGTTCTATGTGTGAGGTCCTAGCTGGCAGCTGTGCATTGGATCACTGGAAACACCCTCCATGTCAGGGCTTTGGACAGAGATCTGACAAGCAACTCAACCCCTATGATGCTGCATTATTACTAAGCAGTGTTCTAGTTTGCAAGTGGTGAAGGTGCTGCTGAAAATAATATAGCTGTCACCACCTCCCATCATTTCTTCTTCAAATCATGGGAGATTTAGTCATACGCTTGCTACTGAAAAACTTGCCAGCCCATGTAAATATGAGACAAATTCAGTAACAGTGCATGACTGCATCTTCTGTTCTACCCATATGTCATGTTCAATTTAAATTGAGAATGAGTTTGCCCTATCAGATTTATGTATTGGTAATACAGACCAATGAGCATCTTACTTAAAAAAAAGAAAAAGAAAAGAAAAAGAAACAAAGAAACTAAATACCACCACCATAGCAACAACAACAACAAAAACACCTGCCTTGTAAATTACAGATGGGTTTGAGTCACAAATTCATCTGAATCCAAATTTCTCCAATGTTCAGAGGTAGTTCGGTTCCAGCCTTTTGGTTTGAACGATTATAGACATGCAGTCCAGATGCAAAGTTTGGATCCAAACTTATGCACTGTTTGTGACTGTTAAGATACGGTGTTTTGATTTGAGGCTTCTCTATTGGAAAACATACTGTCACAACGTTGCTTTGTAATCTGGAATTATAATATTGCCCAACTGAACAAAACTGGACTGATTACCCTATTTGATATACAGAAGGTGACAGTTCAGCATTGGGACCTCATGGCTTCTGCATTGTAGATTGCAGAATTGTAGATTGTTTACTATGACCAAATAAACTTTATATGAAAAAAGTTTGTTATGCAGAAATATGTGATTTCTATTGTAAATATTTTTTATAATTTATTATTCCTGTCTGTTTTTATTAAAGGAAAACCACTGCAGAAGAATTAAAATTCTAGGGGACTGTTACTATTGTGTATCAGGATTGACACAGCCCAAAACGGACCATGCCCACTGCTGTGTCGAAATGGGACTGGATATGATTGACACCATCACGTAAGTATCTCAGTCATTGTTCTCAGGCTTCAGTGCCCAATGGGAAACAGTATCATCCCTGCCATGTTTGTGATGTGTGTTATTAAGGGAGTGGCAGTTTCTGCTGGTACTATGCTCATGTAAACCTTTACAGTGGTTCACTTGTGCCATGAGAGAATCTTGTTTTTACACAGTGCATTCTAGGCACTGCTTTTCTACTCCATGTAATCAGTTTGATGAGAAAAAATGAGTTTGTGTGTGCGTGCACATGCGCCGTGCAGTGAGGGGGGAGAGAAAAGGGGAACTCATGAACTACCTCTATTACTATTTGCCATAGCAATGTGCATTGAACCAGTAAGCAGGGAATCTAATTCCTGCTTGTTCAATATTAAAACGACTCTCAGTTCACCCACTTGTATGTAAATTCCAAACAGACTTTGATTTATATCCATTGTGTGTGTTCATATTCCCAAATCAATTGTTCACTCTGATTTTTGCCTTTCTGTATGTCATTTTGAAACTTTTATTTTGCCTTTCATCAGAGTTGTAATGTGAAATTCATTTTGCCTCTCAGAGAAGTTTTGGTTATGCTTCAGAGCTCTGAACTGATTGCCTTTTTACCAAAAGGCAAAGTGTGAATGTGAGAGAGTTCTGAATGACCTGCTAGTTACTAAGCAAGAGCTGGAAATGTATTTCATATACTGACATTGGGGAGGGAGCGGAGGGAGACGACGTTGTGTGGTTTCTTCACTACCATGTATCTAATATTTCAAAGACAATATATATGTGAACACACAGACACATAGTCATGCTACATATAAATACACATTGCCACACTGAGTTATGTAATGCTAGTGCCTTAGGACTAGATTATGGCTCTCCCACAAGCCCTGTGGGAGTGACACTCCAGGAGCCCTGTTCTGAGGGGGGATAGTAATTGGCTATTAGTTCTTACCAGTAGCTAATTACTGCCCCTGCCCCTACCCCTAGCACTGGCTGTCCCATTGACAGGAGAGGGACCAGAGCCAAGGCTCCACCTCTCCTCATTACTTACCTGCTTGGGGGAGGAAGAGAAGTGATCCTTACACACCTACAGCCCCTTAGTCCCCAGCAGAGGTACATAAATCAAGGTACAGTCTAGCCTTTAATTTGAAAACAGGCAGTAAAACATTTTGTGCTATAGTTTTATGTAGAGTGATCAAAAAAATGCCTTGAAGTTATATAATTTTTGAAAGACATAATTTGTAGTCCTCAGGAACATTTCAGTACTGATTTTAAAGAAATGTTATGAAGAGCCTATAGTGCCTTACAATGTAGTATCTTTCTGTCTTAGTCTGCTTCTCAGTCTTTATCTATCCCACATATTTGGAGGCAATATCCATGTGTTATCTTACAGAGCCACGTGATAAATGAATTAGCATGTAACTTTGATCGTTTCACCTCCGCTCTGCTCACTGATCCATCTCTCTTAGGACTTAGACTAACATTCCAGTCACTATTGAGTAGTTTCTGCACAGTTGCCATGTTTATCTATTTTTTAAATCAGCTTGCCAAATAAATGTTTCCTCTGCAGTCCAAAGGTAAATTTTGCAGCACTCCCAGCGCTCCCAGAATTCTAATTGCCCAAGTTGCAGAATGGGCAAATTCAGTTCTTGGTCAAGGACAGATTTAAGGACAGATATCTGACAAAACTCTAAGTCTTGAAATGGGAGCTTCCCAACTTCCCTATGGCGGGGACTTGGCATTCACTCTTAGCCTAGGAATGGCTCTGAATGCTAGGTTTAAATTGGTGAGATATTAAGTACTTTTTAGGGATATTTTTAATGCATTAGTTATATTTCTGAGACCTGAACATCTGGACGAAGATACTGGGGGCCAGAGCATGCTGTCTGTTATATGTGTACAAAGTCCATTTAAAGCAATCAGACCAGAGCACAAGCAAACAGGATAATTGAGGCCATAGTTTCACAGTCAGCGCATTATGAAAAAAACAATCCTCAACACATTTGAAAAAACTCTCTCAAACATTGCTATGAGTATTTTTGTCTATCATATAGGACAGCTCTACAATACATGATGGTGTGCTGTGCTGTAAAAGTCTTACTGGCACTTGCGACCTTCATAACTCAAAAGTGACTTTGCCACCTGTATGTAATGTGACTATCTGCAACGCATGCTGATAGAACCTGAAATGTACGCCGATGACGACCACACCATCCTGTGTTCCATTCATATAAAATAGCTGTATAAGAGCCAGATCATGCTGTTTCATGAAGGGGCTTGGAGCTGTGGAAAAATTTATGGGGTTCTCCCCTATTATTATTATTATTATTATTTATTATTATTATTCCAAGTTCTTTTGAGAGTTGGGTTTGTCTGCATTGAAGTCACAGCAAGGATTGTGTCTTCTAAACCTTGCAGATCCTTTGGAGATACATGGCAATAGACACACAATTCTGTATCTCCATACCAGCTCTGGAGCTTTGTGGTGGCATAGTCCATTGGACTTCCTTTCAGGAGAATTCCATAGTGCTGAAAAAGGCAGAGAAAAATCTGATCTAGGTAGTGGCTGTATCGCATTTCTGTCTCCTTGTGATACATGAGCTCAGGCATGATTTGGTTCTATGTCCCATTTATCAAAATAACCAAAATGTTAAGAGGTTTGGATAAACTTGTCCATTTTCAGCCATCCATTCATCCAGTATAAATTCCTGTTGTATTGTATATATTGTGAAATTTGTAAAGCATTTTAGGATGAAAGATGATATACAAACCTAAAGATCTATTATTATTTCTTTTACTATGTAATAATAATTATTATTTTAGTTTTGTTATGTAAACACAGTTAAAACATAGTAACAAGGGATATTTCAGCAATTCAGATATACATGATGGGATCAGAATCATTATTGTCTTTACTAAATAAATGTATCCTGCAAAGCCATCTATGCATAGCATTCCTTCTGTAATAAATAGGTGTTCCACTTATAGAAAGTCTTTGGATTGGGGAGAAGTAAAGTTAGACACATAGACCTTCTACAAATTCTGTGAACTTCTCATTTAAAATGTATGCAAAGGCACTGCTTCCTCCTCTTACCTATTTTTAAATATGAAAGTTAATCTATAATTTCATTAGTTGGACTCTCTTTCATGTGTATATATGTAGTGTAATGATATCACTTGAGCTGCCCACTCTTTGGATATCTCATTTATGCTAATATTAGAAATGGAGCATATTCTCTTTTTATGTTTGCATTTATGTCTGCTATCATGATAAAGTAAACATCAATAAGTCAAATTAGAGAAGGGGGAATGAAGCAGATGGGCTGCTGTGTATTATCTAGGCATAGTCAGTGAGAACTCATGGTAGAAGATAAGTAACAGGCAACTTCAGCATTTTCTTTTTGACAGGGTTTAATAAATTGGAAAAGACAGCACAGTGTGTGCATTGGAGATTAGGAGATGGTGGGAGAGGGCAAAATGAAGAAGAGTCAAGGTTGACGGAGCAGTAATTGGTGGTGTCAGATTTATAGAGAGAGTTAAATTGGCAGAGGCCAATCCTTCATCTTTCACACATTTAAGTAATCCGTTGATTTCAATGGAACTACTTGTGTGAGTAAGGATTGCAAGACCCAGACCTGCTGCGTATGCCTTAACTAACATAGAAACTGTGATCATCTCGAAATCAGAAGGGGGTCAGGGAACAGCTATTGTTGCCTTTGAAATCACTGCAAACATTTTCCTCGCTTTAATAAGAGTGTACCAGGGTGGCCTGCCCCTTTAAGGGCCAGGAATCTAGGACCAACCAGCCCTGTTCAGTTTATCAGACTCAGCTGGGGAGGGGGTCAGGTGAGCCTCACAAAGGGCTGAGAGCCCTCAGTTGAAAGTGGGGATCTGCAGGAGAGAGGTTGGCTCCTATGACTAGCCTTGGAACAGAAAGATTGGGGAGTAGAATGAAAGACCTCTGGGTCCCAGCAGCCTGCACTGATTGTGAGCTTTGATTGAATTAATAAACTGGTGCCCTAGAAGAAGGGCCTGAAATACTCTGGGCATGGCAGTGAGGCCTTCCTGGGAAGGTTGGGAAATTCGGACAGGCAATTGGCCTTGGAACTAAAGGGGAAACTGAGGCAGAGACTAGCCTGGATCCAGACCTAGTACATAACACTGTGACAGGGAGCATCATCCAGTCCGACACTGTTGAGCTATGTGCGCAGAGATTAGATTGATTGGAATGTATAGCCAAGCCAACAGACATTCACAGAACTCAAGAGCTGCTAACTGGATTTTGTCGATGCATAGGTTAAAAAAATTTTTTTTTTTTACTTCTGTGCAGAGAACAAGCTTGGAAAATTTCAGACTCCAAAGGAATTTAGTTTGAGTGTGTAATGAGCAAATGAAAAAGGGGATTTAAGGCACAGTTTATAATGGAAATTGAATTTCAACTTTAATTATAGTCCATCAGTCTGGTTAGTGATTCCAAAGATGAAGATGCTGCTGTTCATCAGTTCCATGAGCTGTGGAAGCATTTTAGGTATTTACATTACCCTTCATTTCAGGCAACATCAGAGCTGTAGAACTAGTGAGCTTCTCAAGGTCTGTTTGCCCCACTGCAGAAGAGGTGTATTGCTGGTATAAATCCTTGGCTGGAGAAAGGTTCCATCCCTAGTATCAGCCTTGTCACATTACACAATGAAATGAAAAATCATCTGTTTGAGCTGTTTGATATTCACCTGGTGGATCTTCTGAAAGGGTTTAACGAGAAGGTAATCGCAATAGACATTTCCAATTTACAGGAACACTAGGAGTAAAGCTTTCTTTGGGATGGACAAAAAAGTCCTCAGTGTATCGAGTTAGCCCCTGATCCTCCAAACACTTACACATGTGAGTAGTTCTATTTGTGCAATGTTATGTATGTGCACAAGTGCTTGCAGTAACAGGGTCTTAGACTGCAAACTCTTTAGGGCAGGGACTGTCTTCTACTACATTTTTGTATAGTCCCTAGGCTCAATATGGTACGTGCT